GATTTCGATCACCAACCTCGAAAATTGAGCCAAAATGGCCAAACTTTTTGAAGCACACAGCGAATGTATTTCACAAAATGATTCAAATAATGAGGCAGGGAATGATTTGATAATGAACTGTTCACCGTCATTCCGAAAAGTACGGGAAGATAACGGGTACTGGAGTCCGACAATAATAAGATCCTGGCCTTGACTAAGTTCATTAATGAGCGGAGATAACAATTTCAGTGACAGAGAATAAAACTTGGTGTATAGTTTCATTACATCAATATCTTGACTAAGTTTGACAATGAGCATTTTTTGCTTAGGGTACACAGAGTATTTAGCGATTTATAGCTAGATGCTTTATAAAAATGTTAGATGTGCAAGTAATTAATGAGTGTTATCTATTTAGGGACATCAGCCTTACTGTTGATTTGTTAAATACAACCAAATTATTGTCCAGCCGTAATTTGTCCTGTCTTGGTATGCCCATAAAATAGCTGTTGCAGTTTCTACTCTTTACTGTTTTAACAGCGGTCACCAATTGCATATGCTGTAATGGACCGTGTCTACCAATCTTTCCTACAGTTTATATAAAAGACAACAGTTTGTAAAAATGAATTGTGACACTACGGACCGCTTATACCTCGGTACAGGCTCCTCCACTTCAATGGCTTTACAACATTGCGCAATATTTGTTGAATGATAGTGAAATTTGCGACATTCCACATGACATTTTTCACGAAGATCGAAATCACGACCATAATTTCTCAGCTTAGCCACCGTATTGGAGCCTCCAATTCCCGTTATTTTCGGAATGACACTACGGACCGTCTATACCTCGGTACAGGTTCCTCCACTTCAATAAATTTACAACACTGCGCAATATTTGTTGAATGATAGTCAAATTTACGACATTCCACATGGCATTTTTCACGAAGATCGAAATCACGACCATAATTTCTCACCTTAGCCGCCGTATTGAAGCCTCCAATTCCCGTTATTTTCGGGTGGACTGTTCATTATCAAATGGTTCACTGCATATAAGACAAACAGGTGACACTGTATCCATTTGTGTCTCAACATTTAAATCATTTCGTGAAATAAATTCACCACGTGCTTCAATTGGCATGGCTAGCTGCAATATTTCTAGCCGTGATAATTTTTATTCACGGCTACAATTGATACACTATTCGAGGCTTTGGGCAAGTAAAATTAGGTTGAATTGCAAAATTTTTAACACATACCATTACAGTTTGCATGGAAATAGTAATTATGTACAAATAGTGACGTGTGGAACACTGAAATCTTATTCTTATCTTACCGAACAGTTTTTCTGTATTTTCGAGTGACATAAAATCACGCGATTCTAGTTCGGCGGCCATTTTAAAATGAACAGAAATTTCGTATAGCAGTTGGGTTTAATCAAATGGTATAATATTGCGGTAAGGTTTCAATTTTATTTCGGAATTGGTTTATGATATGTTAAGCTATGTACAGTACAGTTTGGGGTGAGTGCAATTGGAAAAGAGGGGGTTATATGCCAGTAACCTTTTTTGCTATAAAACTTGCTCAAATGAAGGCCTTGGGACGGTCCACTACTGGAGCAAGACGGAAGACATCAGTAGTGGAATCATTTCTAAGGCACGACCAGCTTCCGCAGTGACATGGGAGTGACCCCAGTCGACATACCCGCTACGCTGCTACCGTAGTGAGCTGGGAAACATTCCAAATGAAATTTAGTTGATACTGGATGGATGCCATTGTATTAGGTCTCAGGTTTGAGTATCATTAATCTCCGATCCCTATCGGAAATCTAAATTTCTAATTGGAGTTCCTCCTATATTGACACAGGGGAATCACTAAAATATTACGAAAATGGATTCAGCTACCTCGAAAACATATATTTTGACATCAAACTTGGTCCTTTTATAAATTCGAGTTTTCCCGCCAAAACCGACCGTCATCTTGACTGACCCCAATATTGACTCAGCGGTATCTCTAATCACAAAATGTATATGGAACATTTTGATACCATACTCAATCACATTGTGGCAATCGGGTGGAAATTGGCATTTCTATTGAAGCAATCTTGCCTGGACTATAGGTATCAAAATGCCTCCCCACCCGCCCCTGCTCGCCTGTCTCGGGACCAATGAAATAACAGCGTTAGGTGCAAGGATTCGATCATCTTGGTCAGTGTAGTACACGAGCCAATTTTTACACGAACCATGTGAAACTGATATTGGAGAATTTGGTATTTTGTTAGCAAAATCTAAGGGAAATAAATCCTAAAACATATATTCAAAGTCCACACAGTGACAAATTATTTGGATTAAAGATACTGTAGGATTTTCAACAGAAGTAGCCAAACATTCTGCATACCAAATAATTCTTAGGGAAATTATGGCATACAAATTTAATTTAACTCTAAAGTAGATGTGTGACAAATAGCAAACAATACAATATTTTCACTAACATGTTTCCCTCTATAAGATAAAATTATGCCGAATCAGTTTATACACTTTATCCACGAGTAGTGGAGTTTTGAAAACTTCTCTTTGATAGGATTTAAGAAAAGGAAAAGCATAAATTTTCTGTTTATTGATTTAATCAGATATTGGTTTTACACATGTGATAGCTATTTCTATTTTTTTTTGAAAACTACATCAAAGAGACCCAAAAAGATCATATTTCTATATATAAAATTTAAATTTATATCATTGTTGAGCAAACACGATTTATACAATTGCCTTTTACACTAGTCCTAGGAGTCAATACAATGATAACAATTATCTTCAGTAATATAATTTACTAGAAATATAACTATGGATTTGTTAAATATACTTACGTCTATTTCTCGGTTTGACTTTATGTCATTGGATATAATATATTATCAATGAATAATATATCGAAACAATTATCTATAAATGATCAATGGAATTCGCCGAAATATTTTCTCGTAAGAAATAATTTGATATCAGTTCAGTGCTGATGACGTATAATTTTAATAGGTAAACGAAAGCTAAAGTACGTATATTTTTCAAAAAATTTTAAAAGCAAGCAACAAAACGGTCTTCATTAAATTGCTTTGCTAACAAATTCACATATGAACTTGACTAATTAAAAAATGACTGGCAAAGAAAACGAACATATTTTAGATATACATGTAACAGTTTTTATCCGAGGAATTCAAACATCCAACAAATTCGTGTTTTCCTGTTCTATGTATACCGATATCTAATCTTCATGGTAAAAACAATACTTTACTAAGTATAGAATGTATCCCCATATGGCAAAAGATTTTTGGTATACCACTTTTTATTTGAGGAGTTCGCATATCCAACTAATTTGGGTTTTCGTTTTCTACAATTATAATACCAATATGTAATACATTTCCAAATTTCGCAAAATTAAAAGTTTACACCATGTTTCTCTTATAAGTTGACATCCGGTTCTAATGCATATCCTTAAAACAAACACGTCTTTTTATAGTGTAAATGGCCCTACCTGTTATAAGCAGATCATTTACACTAGAAATTATATTGTCACTAGTTTTCTCACTATATGATTGGTAATACAATGTATCACGGAACAATCTGTCGTAACTTTGTTACCAACGTAAAATGATTTTACATGTTTTGGTTACTAACAACGAAGTGTATGTTTAGATAAGAAATGAAAAGCGGGGTTTAATGTCCTTTCTTTCTGCACCTGACATGGGCTGAGAAAGAAGGGCTTACGCCAGATTGTGCTACGAGAGAAATTTTGCCTGGACAGCCGGGCTAAGGCCTACTCTTATTTCGAATTCCAACTGTCAAGGGTTATTTTTCATGAACGCCAATGTGTACACGGGGCCTCGGTTTTTCGTCAATTCGAAGGACTAGCCCCGCCCTGCACCACTAGCAAGGAGACATCGCGCTGAAAAATCCCGACTCTTACTCACTGTTAAGACAAGACGTCACTGGTGTACGTTTCTAAACACCATAGTTGTGGTCGTTAGTTTCGCCACCCCGTCAATATTCACTTGATTGTGAACACCTTAGAGTCTACATCAGATAAAACTTGGTATATGCCTTTGAATCCATGAGATCTCATCCTCGGTATCCCCAGTGGTATCGTCCCGTTTTACCCCACTAAACCCCGGTTCCATTCACGGGGTTTTCACCAATTCAAATTATCTGCCCTTGACGATTTTGTTGGTCACGTAAGTTGATTCTACGAACCAATCAAAAGACAGTTTATATACCAGACTTAGCGTCACTGTTTACGTTCACCACAATTAAGCAGCTTGTACGCACCATTATGAGAAGGGTTGCAAAAATTGACACAAAACGATGTCCTAAAATATTTTGACAAAGTTTGCAACAACGATTTTAATTGCAATAAAATACGATTTACCTTCCTTGTCGATAAAAATAGCACAATTATCAAGGGCGGATAATTTGACCATGTGTCTCCCCGTGAATGGACCCAGCGATTAGTGGTGTATAACGAAAGGATACCACTGAGTTTACCGAGGATGATAAGATCTCAGATAAGTTCGAATATGAAGGCGGCTTGCCTTCGGCTTGACAAAAATAGGTCTTATTAGACGCTCATTCATAATTTTATAGAGCGATATTTACGGATTGATTTAGCAAATATAGATTCCTACATAAGATGATCTTTTGTTACAGAGTAAGTTTCATATTTACTGTAATATACAGTGCAAAAATTGTTTTCAATAAAACATAGACATAATAATCATTACAGGAGTCTCATTCAGGAAAACTTAAAATATAAAATATTTTAGGGTGTGGCCTTTTCCATGGAGTCCTCGTACCGATTTAATGGCCTGGCCAATTAAAAGATTGTTTCTTTAAAATACTTTACTTTAGTTGTCAATAAAGCTCAAGGAAAACACCACATACACATTAAAAAGACAAAAGAGAAATGGCACTGATATTGTATAATAATATCTAACGAAAGTGCAACAGCTAAGCAAAGCACTACATTGGTATAAGTATATAACCTACCCACTGCCAATATACCAAGCATTTTACGATGCAGCTGTGACGGACCACAATCATCATAGTAGGCATCCATGGTGTAATCGGCAAACCCCATACAAAATATAGCCGTAGCTACGGGTTCTGCTGCAGCTATTCTCATCCAACAGTAAACAAATGATGCCAAAGGACCAAAGGCTTCAGTAATATAGGCATATTCCACGCCTTCTCTTGAAACAGATTCACGAAGTTCCGTAAAACAAAGAGCGGCTGAAATTGAAAACGTATCTCTTTTCAATGTGGTTCCTGAGAATTTCAACCACCTATACGATGCAATAAATCCAGAGAATGCTCTCATTATGGCAACAGAACATTGCTGAACAATCAGATGGCAGAAAACAGTTATACACAAATAAAGTAATTTATTTTTTTTCTAAAATTTTCCAATCACTTTACAAATAGTCGATGGTCTTTAGCGACTATCAATTGTTAGTATTTTTGAATAAGACTGATTAAAAAGATTCTTCTTTATGCCTTAGAATGAACAATTTGCAGTTGTATTTATCTATAAACCTGACTTACCAAACGCACTGAAGACACCAAAACTTCCCCAGATGATAAGAGTCAACCCAACTGATCCGGCACCTTTCACAACGCCCTTTGGAGATGTAAATATGCCTGGGCCTATTGGGTAATGAATAAAAAACACGGATAGCTTTTAAAGAAACTACCCCGTTTTGGAAAATCATAATAATTATTAATACAGCAATATAAATTAAATATCTTTAATTAATTGCATACCGAATTTTTATTTTCATAATTTTAAAAGATTGTTGAATAAAGTAAAATCCCGTTTTGATATTGAACTTGTTCAGCGGATAAAGCCTAAATGATTAAAATAATCTACCAATAATTGCGTTGATAATTAATGCTCCCCCATACAAAGTGTTGATTTGTTGTGATTTGTCTTCTTGCTTGACACTGTTTCTTCTGAATTTCTGGTTAAAGGCATCTGCCCGCTTGGAAAGGTTGTCTTTATCAAATCCAGGATTGTCATGACCATTGTTCAAATCCTTCCCGAGATCATTGGCTGAGAGAACATTAATATGACCCCCTGTAGTCTCTGAAGAAATCAAATTAAAATTTTGGAATGCATTTGCGTAAATTTCTCCGATCAACCCCCCACCCCCACCCAAAACAAGGAGAAAAGTAGAGATTGAAAACAAACGTATGATTTACCAATGATAAGAATACAATCTATAATTTCATTGTTCTTTTGGGAGAGAGAGAGAAAAATGGGGTTTAACGTCCACTCGACACAAACTAGGTCATTTCCGGACTAACATATGGTTTAATTTTATTTCAAGAATTCGCTTGCGCGTAGGGGTCTTTAGCAGTGGGAGGAAACCGGAGGACCCGGAGAAAACCCCACGAGGTTGGACAGGCGACCCTACTCCTTGCCACGTACAACCGGGGATTCGAAACCACGCCAGTTGACTCAATGACAGGCTTTATGATACAGCGCGCGCACGCTAACCATTCAGCCACCCAACCCCCCGTTCTTTTGGGAGTATTTGGTGTTCTAGAAAGAATACGCATACTCTGCGGCAGTTGTTGAGTATTAAAAAAATAAATATCAATGACAAACATCTGTAATGATAGTAGTTATAGATTTTGTATGACTCGGTATTACCTTTATGACGACTATACAATATACTTAAGCATCGGTGGTAAATGTGTCAGTAGTTTCGATTTCAAGAATAAGCCTCTAGCAAGCATAAAGTGTATACGTTCTGCCATACCGGTTCAACGTTGAAATGCGCGGGAGACTGACCTATATTCCTCTGTGTGAAGGTAAATGTAACGATCGGAAAGTTAAAATCGTTCCTTTTAAAAAAATGAGTAAGGAGTACATAGTTTTAAATTCGAGTTTTTGTAATGTTATACGATCGGAAAGTTAAAATCGTTCCTTTTAAAAAAATGAGCAAGGAGTACATAGTTTTAAATTCGAGTTTTAGTAATGTTATACCGCTTCACGTCACTAGCAAAGAAAGTCATTAACTAACCAAATTTCATATCTCCATGAAATACAAATTGGACGCCATGTTTATACTCACATAGCATTTAAATATCAATAGACAATGTTTCCTAAGTTTTGGACTCTTTCAGTCCAACGTTTGTCCCCTACTTATAATAATTAAAATTTAAACTCTTTATCACAAATTTAAATGACCTTGCAATTTATGTCGCAAACAACATCAAAATAAATATTGCAAACCAATAGAACTGATAACGAAAAGCAAAAAAAAAAAACAACAAAAAACAAAAAAACCAAAACACCCCCCCCCCCAAACAAATATCAGAATAAATTATTTCTACCCACCTGTGGTCGTCATGTTAAAGAGTTGTGGTCTTCCCCTTAAGCGGTCTTTGAGTTTTGAATATTGAATACATTCATTCTCTTATCGTATATTAATATGTGTCACATGTCCATCCTTTAGGTAATGTTGACACAAGTGAAACATATTTACAATTCTGATCAAATCCTTTTGGTTGACAGATTCTGGCAAATCACATTGACTTTAAAATGTACCTTAGATATATAGCGGTGTCTAGAACTTTTTTCCTTAATAAAATAGCTTTGTTGATAGGATTCTTATCCTTATCAGCATGGGGTTTATTTATTGAATAGGTGCAGATAAACCTAACCGAACACCTCAAAATAGCATTAACGAAAATATTGTCAATGACTTTCACTTTTCTCCCCCATCCTAACCATGTTGTCAACTCCATTTTAAGATATCATGAAAGTTGACAATAATATTAGTCATTTGCAAAACAATCTTTCCAAAATGTTCGTGGCACAAAATCTTTATACAGATTTATTTTCCAAATAAAAGTTAAGCATGCGACACGAATAGCCCTTATCGGGGTTCATGAGTGCATAATAACCCCACACAATTACATATAATGTCGCCCTACAGCCTGGTTTATTGTATATGTTGGTAGAAGATAGATGGAATTATGGCCGTGAATATGTCGTGGTCACCTCTGTCCGGGAGATTTTGCAAGGGTTACTCAGCTACCCAATGACAGGAACCTTATTAAAATTCGAAGTCGTGCATCGATTATCACAGTTATTGTTCATAACATCGAAATCCGTAATCCTTTTGGATCAATTAATTATTTCATTTGGCATCAATCCCTGTAGACCTTGCGCGAATTATTCATCAGACCTTCAGGGATTCTGCAGAAATACCTTTTAAAATACCAATTTGAAACATATCTTGAGAAAAACTTTTATAAATACATGTAGTCGGACATGTTTGGTTTCCTGACATTTTTAAAATTCTGTAGATTCAAATTCTGATTGCCGCAGCGGAAGATATAAGGTAGGGAATCACACTTACCTACGTAATATCCTAAATAGACGTGTTCGTAGTAGGAGTTGAGTCAAGAACTTGACCCCAAGCACTACTCATTTTGTTATCTTTTTGGGGGCGACGCTCTTAAAAAAAGCCAAAGACTCTACCAATTCAAGAACGACCAACATGAAACTTGGCATGCTTATTCCTTGGAAAATTGTGCATAGATTGACGTACTGCGATGTTTGATATCACAATTCGCTAATGGCTGCGATGGCGTCATACGCGGTCCCTGATCCATCTTGTGCACTCGTCCTGTTAGTACTGTTGAATAGATAAGCAGGATCAACATCCACACCAATAAATCAAAATTCATGCATTTGTTATTGTACCGGGGTCAATCGTTTGTTGATGTGATCGGAGGATTAAAGCAAGTGAAAATAAACTAGTTTACTTTGTAACGGCGTGCAATAGCAATGAGATTAATAATATATATACGGTATACGTGACATTAGTCTATTTATTACATGTTATTGATATCACAAGTTTATGCATTTCTTCTAACTTGTCTCGATGTAATCAATGACTCGTCTTCATTGTTGGTCTTTGAAATGTGTGTTTCAATATGCCAACGGTCGAATTTCATTATGGATGATATGACAATATTTCTTAAGGATTTGCCGTTGTATATCCCAGATTCAACAATTTTGTAGTTCAAGGATAGTGTTGCCGTCAGTCAATGTGATAGACCTGGTTAAACACATTGAAGATTTGAAGAATTAGGAAGAGACGCAAAAGAAGGAAAACACGAGTTATCCTTATTATCGAAGGACGATAGCAAATACGCAGTCGATTTTCATCGCAGTGATAATTCCGTTGAGACAGCGAGAGGATATCGGTTCGAAACGAACTATACCTGAAATGAATTGACTGCCATGAACAAGAAGGCGAGAAAAATAGAAACAGTCTGTACATTCTCTTGTCTTTTTAATTCTCTATTTACATAGTCCGACAGGCTTATAACTATAGACATACTATTATTATTTGTTTCTTAAAAGTTACGACTCTCCGCCACATGGATTACAAATCGCTATACCAAAGAAAAAACTACCGCTTGTTCAGTAATGCTTGGTTTACTTAATTACTTGTGAATTTTGTAGATACATACTAGTGAATTTTGTACTTCCATAGATACATTCAAAATTCGACTTCGAGACAGGTATATTCGTCTACAGACACACCACGTCGATTACAAATATGAATTCAGCGTTTGACTATATGAACACAATCGGATGATTATTGTAGCCTATCCAGATTGTACTCAGGCCTGATTTTCTTTTCAGCGAAATGTTAGTATACCAAATGAGTAGTAGCCCGGCTTCTGAAAATAACGAATGATTCTAATTAGTGATCGGTGCTGTCTGCTGTGTACGAGGTACTATACGCTTACTCTTTCCAAAAACACCCCATACCACTTTCCATTTTAAGAGTTCACATACCTAATCAGTTTTTATTTTACTTTTGAATATAAATCCACGTGTTGATAAATACAGATTGTCAGAAGTGCAGTTCTCGAATTCCCATTTTTTGCAGATCTGACCAGAAAAACAAAAAAATCCAAGAGATCAAGTTTTCAATGAAACTACGTGCATTTACAAGAAATTTTAATAGGACGGGTGAGAAATCAGTATGAATGCAGTATTTGATAAATGAAAATCGGCTGATTGCTGTTCTAGAGCACATGCCATGCAAATGCGATTTGTGATCCACTTTTCGAAGGCAGACGTTTTTAAAATAATAATAATAATATGACTTGAGTTTATTTATAGGGTTCCCGAATCAACTATCAATATCGCTTAAAATGTGTACGTAGAGAATTAATAAAAACAAGGGAATGCGCAGACTTTTCTATTTTTATCGCTTTCTCTTATCTCGTGACAGTCATTTTTTTTCATGTATAGTTCGTATCGAACAGATATCCCCCATGGTCTCATAACAACTTTCAAACTTCAACGGAATTATCATTTAGCTGAAAATAGACTCTGTATCTGTTATCACCCTCTACTTCAGTAGTCAGGATAAATCGTGTTTTCCTTTTTTCCCAATTCTTCAAATCTGTATTACAGATCAACCCATTGTAGCACAGATCTCTTTATAAAATTATAATATGGAATGTCTTTAACATTTACTGACGCAGACGTAGTACTTTAAATGTTTGCTTAAGTCCAACAATGCATTATGCATTATAAAACGAGCATGCTCTGTCATATTTTAAAGCTGTGAAATATACATCCTTATTATTAAGTGACGCCGGTGATATCACAACCGGACAGATATGCCCGTATGATGCACTTATTTTGATAATTTTTCTATTGTTTATTTCGCAGTTTCTAGTGTGAGTTTCCATGTACACATTGAAGTCGACATTCTGTCCACACGTAAACGGTATCCGTCTTTTGTCACTATATATATTACAAACAAACCATGTTAGGGTAGCTATTGAAAAGTTGATAAGCATTAAAACTGATTGTTTAATACGATAACGACGTGTACTCATAAATCATGACATCCAAAATATTGATAAACCACCTTTTAAGGTGGTTACTAGTGTTGTGTGGGGAAACGACAGGGCACGCGTGTTAGGACAGCAAATTTATTAGCTTCCCGGAGCTCCAAATGACTAAATCTCTATATGACAGAAGTGATTTCTGTTCAGAATCCGCTAGAATAATGAGTCATTTGATTAGATTAGCAAACGGAAAAAGTCATTGGGGTCCAAACTATATGACTGAGATAGATGAATGAATATAAGGTATATTTTAAGTGCGCCAAACTGAGAACAGTTGTAAATAATATCCATGCAAATTTTAGTATCGTTCCGTAAGATATGGTGCGTTGGTCCGGCAACAATTGGTTTATGAATGTGATAGTGTTTAGGCGGATATATTTCATACTTGGTATGAAGGATAAGGGTAGAAAAAGACGAAACCTACTGATATTACGGACAGTTTCCGAAGTATTGGGGGAACGAGGGTACGAAAACTGTTAATATATTTAGCGTTCCGGAATTACCTCCCTTATGCTGACACCGTTTTTAACATGATCGTTGCTATAGTTTTTGACCATTATTTGTTTCACATGTAGTAGTAGTTCCTTGGTTTTTTAACGTCTGCTTCCAGATAAGTGGTAACCTCAGTAAAAACACATGTCACCTAAACCCCGGGAATGTTTGTTAGATCCTTTCTTGTGATTAGTAAGAGACTACATACATAGGAAACCTGTCATGTTAAGGAAATGGGTATGTACATTAAACTCGATTCGTCATGATTTCATTTTCAGATATAATGCTTTTGACAAAATCTGCAAATGGAAGTTTAAATTTAGGCTTACACACTTTGCGGTCTAGTGGTGCAACTCGGACTGTCCGTTTAAGTCTAAACTATAGATATATATATTAAAAGACATGTAATGTGGGAATCAGACATCCATTATCATAATTCCTATAGTAAGTTGGCGCTTACACTTTCGATTCATTGACTAAACAAGTACTTGAAATAACTAACGTATTTATCACTAAACCAGATGTGTAACTGTACACAATTTGGTTTATTTTTAAACTGTAATGGAAGCTGGCAAAGATCTGAGACCTGTTCAAGAAGGGAGACCGGTATCTTTACTTTGAACAAGTAAATTGCTTGCTAAAATCATGTCCAGGTACGTGTAGAATTAATCTCTTGATACTAACCTTCTTGATTGTTACCAGTCTAGGTTTAGACCGAGTGTTCTATGGTACATCAGTTATTATAATTGTCCCTCGTCTTTCGAAGAAAGCAGGAGGCGTTTACAATGGGTCTGTCCGTCACACTTTTTGGGACATAATAACTCTGCTTCTAATTGAGCTAGAATGTTCAAACTTGATGTATATATTTTTTGGCGAACGCCTTGAAGGAGTTTGAAGATGAGAATATTCTGCTATGGCCAAAGGGAGATAAGCAATATGATTGGTCGATGCTTTGGGGCACAATAACTCT